CAAAAGTTTCAATTTTACAAAGCTTGCAACCTAGTATATGCACAGAATTTTCAATGATACATGGTAATTGATGATAGAGTACATGCGATGGGAATATAAGTACATAAAGTGTCTACTCTAGGGGAGAGTGAGGGATGGTATTAGCCCCAGGTCACCTAGGAGAGTGCCATGTACATGGTTGGTGTTCAAACAGTTGTTGAGTGAATCATCTAACAAACACTTGAAAATATAAGACTGAAGTTAAGCAGAGATTAGACAGACAAGTCAGTGGTATTCCTTCATTTATTCGGCAGTTATGTGTTGCCTATTCTACAGCGAAGTATTGTCATTTGTGCTTAATATGTAGCAATGAAAGAAAGAAAGACCTGAACCCTGGAATTCCACTGCACCTGGCCTATAACCACTCTTATCCTAGTGTAAATTATAAATTTGTGATAATAAGGATAACGTACCTTGATGTATTTTATTTCTTTTTTTTTTTTCTTAAATTAATGACTAATAGCATTGAATTAGAAAAGTTGTATAATCTCTGTGGAGTTCTTTATCTGCAAAATGAAAGAACTGGATAGAATTATTTCCAGGGTTCTGTCCCATTTTAAAAACTTATACATTTATTCATTAAGAAATAAAAAATATCTGAGAAATGATGGAATTTACGGAAATTGAAATGATAGAGCTGTAGAAGAACATCTACAACTTAGATCTCTCCCTTACAACATGGGATGATTGCCAGTACTTGGGGAATCTTTCTTGGCAAAACCAGATCTACAAAACACTATTTCTTTGGGCCACCTACTAGGCATGGAATTACTTCATTTTACAGATTGCTTATTGTTTGGTATTACTTGTGGCACAGATTCCTCCAGTAAGTATATATGCCCACCACCATTTACAGATTACTCAACTGATCTAGTTAGGAAGAGTCCTCAATAGGCCTGGCACGGTGGCTCATGCCTTAGTCCCAGCACTCTGGGAGGCCGAGGCAGCCGGATCACGAGGTCAGGAAATTGAGACCAACCTGGCCAACATGGTGAAACCCCATCTCTACTAAAAATACAAAAGTTACCTGGGTGTAGTGGTGCACACTTGTAATTCTAGCTGTTCAGGAGGCTGAGGCACAAGAATTGCTTGAACCCGGAAGACAGAGGTTGCAGTGAGCTGAGATCCCACCACTGCACTCCAGCCTGGTGACAGAGTGAGACTCCGTCTCAAAAAAAAAAAAAAGAAAACAAGAAAGGGTTCTCAATAATAATGATTTAAAAAAGAAAAAAAAGAAAATGGAAAAAGAAAGAAAGAAAAAAAGAATGAAAAAGAAAGAGGGAGAGAGAACGGGAGTCTTGCTTTATTACCCAGACTAGAATGCAGTCTAAAAATGGGTATTGAAAACATCTTTTATGCCAATAATTGTGCTTAACAATGGAGACAGGAAGGAATAAGGGAGGAAAATAACAAACAAGCAGCCGACCAGTATTTCATTTAAACCTGTGAAATGCTATGCAATTACTGAGGAGTGATTTCACCATGTTGACCAGGATGGTATCAATCTCTTGACCTAGTGATCCACCCGCCTCGTCCTCCCAAAGTGCTGGGTTTTGACTTTTTATCCAACCCGGGAAGTGGAGGTTGCAGTGAGCCAAGCTGGTGCCACTGCTCTCCAGCCTGGGCAACAAAGCAAGACTCCATCTCAAACAAAAAGAAAAAAAAGAAAAACTCACTCAAGGACAAATTGTTGATTATCTCTAGAGACTGGCTCGGACTGCATTGAACTGTGCGATTGCTTTAGACAATATGGCCATTTTAATAGTATTAATTCTTCCAAGCAATGAGCATGGGATGTGCATGAGATGACACATTTGTAACTGATGTATAGAAACACTACTGATTTTTGTACATTGATTTTGTCCTGCAACTTAACTGAATTCATTTATCAAATCTAATAATTTCTTGTTGGAAGTCTAAGTTTTTCTAGATATAAGATTATGTAGGCAAAGAGAGACAATTTCACCTTCCTCTCATCCAACTGGAAGGCCTTTTATTTCTTTCTTTTGCCAGATTGCTCTGGCTAAGACTTCGAGTCCTATGTTGAATAGGAGTGGTGGAAGTCTTGTTCTAGTTGTTCTAGTTGTTAGGGGAAAGCCTTTCAACTTTCCCCTGTTCAGTATGGTGTTAGCTGTGGGTTTTTTGTATGTAACCTGTGCTATTTTGAGGTATATGCCCTCTATACTTAGTTTGTTGAGTGTTTGAATCCTGGAAGGATGTTGAATTTTATCAAATGCTTTTTCTGCATCGATCGAGATTGTTTTTTTCTATATTTTGTTGATGTGCTATATTAAATTTATTGATTTCTATATGTCTAATCATCCTTGCATCCATGGTATAAATCACAACTGATCATGGTATATTATCTTTTAGATGTGCTATTGGATTTGGTTTGCTAGTTATTTTGTCGAAGATTTTTATTTTTTTTTAATTTTTAATTTTTTTTTTTAAATTTTTTATTTTTTAAGTCTACTCACAAGTTTCAGAGTTGAAGACTTTTGCATCTGTGTTCCTCAGAAATATGGGCCTGTAGTTTTCTTTTGTGTGTGTGTTTGTCCTTAACTGGTTTTAGTATCAGGGTAATGCTGGCTTCTTGCAGTGAGTTACAGAGAATTCTTTCCTCTTTGATGATTTAGGAAGAGTTTCAAGAGGATTAATATCAGTTCTTCTATGTATGTTTGATAGAATTCGGCTGTTACTCTGTCCAGTCCTGGTCGTTTCTATGTTAGGAGACTTTATATTGTTTTTGTTTGTTTGTTTGTTTGTTTTTGTTTTTGTTTTCTTGAGACAGAGTCTCACTCAGTCTCCCAGGCTGGAGTGCAGTAGTGTCATCTCGACTCACTGCAACCTCCATTTCCCAAGTTCAAGTAATTCTCCTGCCTCAGCCTCCAAAAGCTGGGATTATAGGCATGTACCACCAAGCCTGGCTAATTTTTCATATTTTTCGTAGAGATGAGGTTTCACCATGGTGGCCAGGCTGGTCTGATACTCCTGGCCTCAGGTGATCCGCCTGCCTCAGCCTCCCAAAGTGCTGGGATTACAGTTGTGAGCCACCATGCCAGACCTAGGAGACAAAAGTAGTGATTTCTCACTACTCATTATTGGTCTGTTCAAGTTTTCTGTTTATTTCTGATTCAGTCTTGTATGTTGTATGTTTCCATTTCCTCTAGGTTTTACAGTTTGTCATTATAAGTTGTTGATAATAGTTTCTCCTCTTTTTTATTTCTGTCCCCTCATTTTCATTTAATTTGTTTGGGTCTTCTTTTCTTGGTTAGTCTAGCTAGTGGTTTATCAATCTTGTTTATCTTTTCTTTTTTTTTTTTAATTGCATTTTAGGTTTAGGGGGTACATGTGAAGAGCATGCAAGATTGTTACATAGGTACACACATGGCAGTGTGATTTGCTGCCTTCCTCCCCATCACCTATATCTGACATTTCTCCCATGCTATCTCTCCCCAACTCCCCACCCCCCGCTGTCCCTCCACTATTTCTCCCCAACAGACCCCAGTGTGTGATGCTCCCCTTTCTGTGTCCATGTGTTCTCATTGTTCAACACCCACCTATGAGTGAGAACATGCAGTGTTTGATTTTCTGTTCTCACATCAGTTTGATGAGAATTATGGTTTCCAGGTTCATCCATGTCCCTACAAAGGACACTAACTCATCATTTTTGATGGCTGCATAGTATCCCATGGTATATATGTGCCACATTTTCCCTGTCCAGTCTATCATCGATGGGCATTTGGGGTGGTTCCAGGTCTTTGCTATTGTAAACTGTGCTGCAATGAACATTTGTGTGCATGCGTCCTTATAGTAGAACGATTTATAATCCTTTGGATATATACCCAGTAATGGGATTGCTGAGTCAAATCGAATTTCTGTTTCTAGGTCCTTGAGGAATCGCCAGACTCTCTTCCACAATGGTTGAACTAGTTTACACTCTGACCAACAATGTAAAAGTGTTCCTATTTCTCCACATCCTCTCCAGCATCTGTCTCCAGATTTTTTAATGATTGCCATTCTAACTGGTGTGAGATGGTATCTCAGTGTAGTTTTGATTTGCATTTCTCTAATGACCAGTGATGATGAGCATTTTTTCATATGTTTCTTGGTCTCATGTATGTCTTCTTTTGTAAAGTGTCTGTTCATATCCTTTGGCCACCTTTGAATGGGCTTATTTGTTTTTTTCTTGTAAATCTGTTTTAGTTCTTTGTAGATTCTGGATATTAGCCCTTTGTCTGATTGGTAGATTGCAAAAATTTCCTTTGACAAACCTGACAAAAACAAACAATGGGGAAAGGAGTCCCTGTTTAATGAATGGTGTTGGGAAAACTGGCTAGCAATGTGCAGAAAGCAGAAACTGGACCCCTTCCTGACACCTTATGCTAAAATTAACTCCAGATGGATTAAATACTTAAACATAAAACCTAACACCATAAAAACCCTAGAAGAAAACCTAGGCAAAACCATTCTGGACATAGGTGTAGGCAAGGACTTCATGACCAAAACACCAAAAGCATTGGCAACAAAAACCAAAATAGACAAATGGGACCTAATCAAACTCCACAGCTTCTGCACAGCAAAAGAAACAGTCATTAAAGTGAATCGGCAACCAACAGAATGTGAAAAAATTTTTGTTTATCTTTTCAAATAACCAACTTTTTGCTTTGTTGGTCCTTAGCATTATTTTTGTTTGTTTGTTGTACTGTGTATTTCATTTAGTTCTGCTTTGACCTTTTGTATTTCTTTTCTTCTGCTATTTTTCTTCTTGGTTTGTTCTTGCTCTGTTCCTTGAGGTGCATTGTTAGATTGTTAGTTTATAACTTTTTACCTTTTGGATGTCAGAATTATTGCTATAAATTTCCCTCTTAGCACCGTTTTTGCTATATCCCGCTGATTTTGATATGGTGTATTTCCATGTTTACTTATTTCAAGGAATATTTTGATTTTTTTTTCTTTAAGTCTTGCTAAAAAGCAAGGCCTCTTAAAAATTAGCTTAAAACTAAGAGTTTTTCCTCTTCACAGAAATCTTTAGTAAAAGGCGAAAGATTTATACGATCTGAAGGGAAACCAGAGTATGGGAATATTTTGATTTCTGTCTTAATTGTTTTGTTCACCCAGTGGTCATTCAGGAACATGGTGTTTAATTTCCATGTATTTGTATAGCTTCCAGAGTTCCTTTCAGTGTTGATTTCTAGTTGTATTATAGTGTGTTCTGAGAAGACACATGCTATGATTTTGATTTTTAAAAATGTTGAGACTTGTTTTGTGTCCTAACATGTGGTCTTTCCTGGCGAATGTTCCACATTCTGATGAAGAGAATGTATATTCTGCAATCATTGGGCAGAATGTTCTGTAAATGTCTTATAGGTCCAGTTGGTCCTAATTTAAATCTAATGTTTTTTGTTTGTTTGTTTGTTTGTTTTTCAGGTGATCTGTCTAATGCTGCAATTGGGGTGTTGATATCTCCCATTATTATTGTATTGCAATCTAGCTCTCTCTTTAGATTTGGTAATATTTGATTTATGAATCTGGATGCTCCTATATTGGGTGTATATACATTTAGAATTGGTACATATTTTTTCTGAATTGATTCATCTATCATTATATAATAACCTACCTGTGGGGTTTTTTTTTTTGAGATGGGATGTTGTTCTGTCGCCCAGGCTGGAGTGCAGTGGCACAATCTTGGCTCACTGCAACCTTCTGTCTCATGAGTTCAAGTGATTCTCCTGCCTCAGCCTCGTGAGTAGCTGGGACTACAGGTGTGCACCACCACACTGGGCTATTTTTTTTTTTTTTAAGTAGAGAAGAGGTTTTACCCTATTGGCCAGGATGGTCTCAAACTCCTGACCTCTTGCCAAAGTGCTGAGATTAAAGGCAAGAGCCACTGCGCCTAGCCACTTTTTTTTTTTTTTTTTTTTTTTTTTTTTTTGACTAATTTTGACTTAAAGTTCATTTTAGCTGATAGGGCCACTACTTGCTTTTGGATTTTGTTTGCATAGAATGTCTTTTCCTGTTCCTTTATTTGCGGTATATATTTGTCTTTAGTGAGTTTCTTGTAAGCAGCATCTCGTTGAATAATATGTTTGAATCCATTCAACCTTTCTATATCTTTTAAGAAGAGACTTTTATCCGTTTATGTTCTGGGTTATTGATATGTGAGGCTTTGTTCCTGTCATACTGTTTTTTTCTGTTGTTTTATATATTCTTTGTTCCTTTTTCTCTTATAGTTTGTCATTGTGGTTTGGTAGATTTTTGTAGTGGTACTATTTGAGTTCTTTATTTTCCTGCTTTGTATGTTTGCTTTACAGTGAGTTTTATATTTTCATGTGATTTCATGATGGTAAATGTCATCCTTTCGCCTCCAAGTTTAGGATTTCCTTGAGCATTTCTTCTAGGGATTGTCTAGTAGTAACAAATTCTCTCAGCATTTGTGTTGGAGTAACTTTATTTCTCTTTCATTTATGCCTGAGAATTTATTTGACTGCATTAGTTTCCAGTTTTTTCCTTCACATACTTGGAATATATCATCCCATTCTCTTCTGGCCTGTGAGTTTTCTCCTGAGAAATCCACCGTTAGTTCGACTGGGATTTTTGTTTTGTTTTGTTTTTTGGTAGGTGACTAGACTCCTTTCTCTTGCTGTTTATATGATTTGCTCTTTAAATTTGACTTTAGACAGTCTGATTGTAATGTGCTGTGAGGAAGATCTTTTTGCATTGCATTTGCTATGAGGTCATTGAACATCCTGTTTCTGTATGTCTAAATCTCGTTAGACTTAGGAAGTTTTCATCTGTTATTTTATTAAATAGTTTTTCTAATTCTTTCTCTGTTTCTTTGCCCTTGAGTACACCACTGATTTGTAAATTTGGTCACTTCATGTTGTCCCAAATGTCTCAAAGTCTTTTTTGTTTTTTTATTTGGCCAAACACGGGGGCTCATGCCTATAATCCTAACACTTTGGGAGTCTGAGGTAGGAGGATCACTTGAGGCTAGGAGTTTGAGATCAACCTCTTCAACATAGTGAGACCCCATCTCTCTCTCTCTCTCTCTCTCTCTCTCTCTCTCTCTCCATATATATATATATATATATATTTTTAGAGAGAGAATCCAGTCAGAAATATATATATTTTTATATATAAAGCTATTTATGTAAAATATATGTATGTATTTATATATATAAATATATTTATAATGGTCTTTTGGTTTTATAAATATATTTTAAAAACCTATATATATATATATATATATATATAAACGGTCTTTTGGTTATTTATTTATTTATTTACTTCTGACTGGATTATACCAAAAGACCTGTTTTCGGGTTTTGGGAGTCTTTCTTCTGTCTGATCTGGTTTATTTTTGAAGCTTTCAAATGTATTTTATATTTCCTTCAGTGATTTCTTTAGCTCCTGAATTTGTTTGGTTTTTTAAAAAATATCTCTTTGTTAAATTTCTCATTCATATCCTGAATTATTTTCCTGATTTCTTCGTATTGTTTTTCAGAATTCTCTTGTATCTCACTGAGGTTCTTTAACAATCAGTGTTTTGAGGCCAGGTGCAGTGGCTCATGCCTGTAATCCCAGCACTTTGGGAGGTCAAGGCAGGCGGATCACAAGGTCAAGAGATTGAGACCATCCTGGCCAACATGGTGAAACCCTTTCTGTACTAAAACTACAAAACTTAGCTGGGTGTGGTGGTGCACACCTGTAGTCCCAGCTATTCAGTAGGCTGAGGCAGGAGAATTGCTTGAACCCAGGAGGTGGAGGTTGCAGTGAACTGAGATCACGCCACTGCACTCCATCCTGGCGACAGAGCGAGACTCTGTCCAAAAACATAATAATAATGTTTTGAATTTTTTACCTGGGATTTCTGAAATTTCTTTTTGATTATCTATTGCTAGATAATTATTGTTTCTTTGTAGGTGTCATATTTTCTTGCTTTTTCATGTACCTGTTCCCTTATGTTGATGTCTGCACATAAGCTGTAGCAGGCACTTCTTTCTTTTTTTTGCATTTACTTTTGTAAGGGAGGACTTTTTCCTTAAAATGTATCTATGGTGTTGGTTAGGTCTACTCCCCGCTGCCGGATTGCTACTGGCTTGTTTTCCTATTCTAGCAGTGATAGCACAGGTTTCTATAATGTCCAGTCCTGATGTTGGGTTTTGTGACAGCAGTTTGCCAGAGGCTAAAAGTTTAAAAGTGTCATCTTGTAGCTTCTAAGGCCTTAAAAACAGTGCAGGACTCAGCATGAGCTCCTTCCCTGGAGTAGTTTCATCCTGGAAGGTTCTTATGTTAATTTCAGGGTTTGGGATGATTGAGAGGTTCTCCCATGGCCAGTATTGCATGATTCTGTGGTGGGGATTCTGGATGCTCTTGTTCTCCCCTTTTCTGCATTGTGAAGCCACTCCTCTATTTTTACTTGTTAATTGACACATTATAATTGTACATATTTATGGGATACAATTTGATGTTTGATACATGTATACATTGTGCAGTGATTAAATCCGGTTAGAGTGTATCCCTCACCTCATGTATTTATCATTTCTTTGTAGTGAAACATTCAAAGACTTTCTTCTAGCTGTTTTGTAGTATATATTCAGTTCTGGTGTTCTACTACACAGTAAGGTGATTCAGATCTTGTTATTGGTCTTTTCAGGGCTTCGACTTCTTCTGTGAAGTAGGGCTTCTACTACACAGTAAGGTGATTCACCTTACTGTGTAGTAGAACACCAGAACTTATTTCTTCTATCCAATTTTAACTTTGTACCTACTGACTAAAGTCTCTTCATCTCCTTCCTCCCCTCCAAAAAAAGTTGATCTCACAGAAGTAGAGAATAGAACAGTGGTTACCATATGAATTTTAGGATTCGCTTTTACATTTCTGTAAAAAATTATTGTTGGGATTTTGATAAAGATTGCATTGTATCTGTAGACTACTTTGGAATATATTCCCATCTTAACAATATTAAGTTTATGAACATACACAGATATCTTTCCAATTTATTTAGCTCTACTTTAATTTCTTTCAGCAGTGTTTTATAGTTTTCTACATACAAGTGTGTACCTCCATGGTAGGTTTTCTCCTATCTGTTTTATTCTTTTGTGGTATTATAAAAGAAGTTGTTTTAGTTTCACGTTGTTTATTGCTACTTTGTAAATAGGTAAGTGATTATTGTCTGATGTTCTGTCTTACAACTTTTCTGAACTTGTTTCTTAGTTTTAACAGGTTTTTTTGTAAGTTCTTTATGATTTTCTCTGTACAGTATCTTGGCATCTGTGAGTAGATATCATTTTCCTTCTACCTTTTCAATTTGGATATACTTTATTTGTTTTGCTTGCCTGATTTCTCTGACTAGAATTTTCAGTACATTGTTGAATAGAAAGGGCAAGAGTGAGCATTCTTGTCTTGTTCATAGGAGAAAAGCTGTCAGCCTTTCATTATTGAAAATAATTAATACCTTTGGATTTTTCATGATGTTAACTGTGAGCTTTTTATATATGCCCTGAATTAGAGCCTTCTTGTAATGCTATGAATACCTGATAATTTATAAAGAAAAGAGATTTAATTGGCTCACATTTCTGCAGGCTTTACAGGAAGCATGGTGCTAGCATCTGCTCAGCTTTTAGGAAGGCCTCAGAAAGCCTATAGCCATAGTGGAAGTTGGAGGGAGAGCAAGCATGTCACATGGTGAAAATGAGAGCAAGCAAGATATGGGCAGGGAAGGTGCCATACATTGTTAGTGGACCAGCTCTCGCAAGAATTCACTATCACAAAGACAGCATCAGGCCATGAGGGATCTACCCCCATAATCCAAACACCTCCCATCAGGCCCCTCCAGCACTGGGGATTACAACCCAAATCTCATGTTGAATTATAATCCCCAGTGCTATAACCTCCAGCACTGGGGATTACAATTCAACATGAGATTTGGGCTGAGACAAATATCCAAACTATTTCATGCCTCTTATCATTTTGAAGAAGTTATCTTTTATTCCTTATGTATGGAGAGTTTTTATCATGAAAAGGTATTGGATTTTGTCATGTGTGTTTTCTTCATTAATCAAAGAGATCATAT